ATTATGAATTAATATATGATGAGAATGACCATGTACAAGTCTGTATATAGTTATATATAAATAAACTGAAAGGAATGTTAGTGAGGTAAAAAATTATTAGAATATGAGAAGCACTGGACAGAAGTGAACTTGGTGAAGCCTTCTAGCCTATTATTGCAGAATCATTAAAAGTTAGAGCTCTGACTTACATGAGCTCATTTACATTCACTGTCATTTAAGTGTGCACATTCTAAAATGAGTTTCAAGAAGCACTAGATCCATTAGGTAATATAGTAAAGATGATAAGGGAAAGGACTTCCATAGTTGTATAATTTGGGGAAATGTTATGTTGAGCAGAGTTAAATTTGTTTCTTTCCTGGAAGACTTTTCTACTGTGTTTTTCATGTGTGTGTAATTGCAAAACTCCTTTTTTAAAAAAAAATGGTTTTATTGATTTTTAGAGAGAGAGGAAAGGATAGGGATAGAGAGATAGAAACATCAATGAGAGAGAAACATCGTTGATCAGCTGCCTCCTGCACCCTTCCACCAAGGATGGAGCCTGCAACCAGGGCATGTGCCCTGACTGGGAATTGAACTGGTGACTTTTTGGTTCCTGGGTCAACACTCAACCACTGAGAACACCGGCCAAGAGCAAAACTCTCTTATTGTAGAATATCTTTTGGGACAAGTGTTCTGTGGTACGGGCTTTGGAAAATACTGTTTTATTCCAACGTTTTCATTTTCCAGATGAGGAAACCAGGGGTGAGAGTGGTTAAATGATTTGCTAAATTTATGTACAGAGTGAACCTGAATGCATGCCTGGAGAGTTGACACCGCCTGGTGTCCTACCACACCATATCGCCCCATGGATTTCACCCACGCAGTGTCGGACAGACAAATGCTTTGTTCTTAGAGTCTGAAGGGAAGAATACCAACAGAGCGTCCTCTGGGAATCCATTACCCAGAGTTTAAGACCCTTCATGGTCTATAATTCAAGTTCTAGGAAACATCATGAGTTCCTAAGTCCATGGGTGTTTTCACGCAGTGCCCACTGTACAGTATAGAAAGATGTCGATCTTTGGAGATGAGTCTACGAGAGCTCAAATACAGCTTCAGATGCCATGGAGCAAATTGGCTATATGGCTTTGGGACAAGTCACTTAGCCTCTCTGAGTCTTAGTCTTGTGACTCTAAAACGGGGCTCATACCTGGCACCGTTTGGGTGACATTAAATATGTTAGAAGTGCCTATCTGGTAAAGGCATTCGATACATGGGGCGTATTTTTATTCTGTAACAATGCCTGGAGGAGATTTAAATAATTTCTGTGTAGTTCTGAGGTTGATTGCAGTCCTTTCCTTATAGTGAAATCTTTGTTGAGATTTTGCTAATAGGAACTACCTCTCACGCTGCTTTTCTTACCGTCTGGCTCTTGGGTCTCCGATGAACCTTGTGAGTGTTCTTTATGGCACATACTATGTCCTGTTCTTGCACATGTCACCATCGTTCATATCGGACCAGTCACTTTCTTCTCTCAGGGCTGATAAACGCATTGCAGGGAAGTTCCAGCTTCTTCAACTGTCGTGTGACAATTTCAGATTTTCAAGTGAAAGGTCTTCACCAGCTTGATTTTTTGCTGGCACTGGCTCTTTCTGTTCCCGTTTGCTGCTGCAGGCATCCTTGTACATGAGGAACTTGCAGCTCTCTTACATTCCTGCAAGCCCCTGTGCAGGTGCACATTGGAAAGCCATTTCTCCACTCTGGCAGAAAGGGATTTTACAGACTGCCGTCGCTTTTGGCAGGGAGAGAATGACTTCCAGGCCCTGTGCTGCTTGAAAGAGGCACTCCCCCATCACATATACGACTGTACTCAGTGGTTACTGCTTGTGACACATTTTCAAATGGACCCCCCAGTGGCTGCAGCTGTGATTAAAAGCTGTCTGCTCTCTGCCTCACTGGAGGTTTCCTGTTTAACCATGTCAGGCACACATATATGTGGGCTGCAGCTGCATCATGGCAAATGTAAAGTGTTTTGTGAGATGAAAAATCAAATGAATACTTGAATAACAAACTCCTGAAATTTCCAGGCTCAAGTCACCGAAAGATACTAGTTGAGGACCTAGCCATGTATGAGGTACATAACAGTAATTTTAAAAAGGAGAGCTAATGGTCAGTGAATATATACCATCTGCCAGGACATGCTTTGCACACATCAACCAGACTGCACATCTTAGAGATTTAAGTGCACTTGAACTTAGCAGCTGCATTTCGGCTCCTCTGTGTGGTTCAAGCTTCAGTTGACCATTTACAAATAAAGCAAGAAGAGAATATTCTTGTTTTAAGATTACCCAGATATTCACTGGTACACTAATAACCATATTTGGCTTATCATGAGGTAGTGCATGCCATTCTAAACACAGTTTACCATGAACACTACCCTAAAAAATGCTCAAATGAGCAGGGTGGCCTCAAAGACTAGGCACAAGTCACACCCCTTCCATTAGCTGAGAGATATTGAGTATTGAGCATTTCATAAAAGAAAAAGAACATATTAGAATGTGAATCCAGGCTCTTTACCTCATGTGATAAGTATACATATCAAAGCCATGAGATAAAGCAGTGAGTGCTCCTTTCTCAACTCACTCAGCTCTAGTAACTGAATCCAACAAATCCAAACACATATTCTTTCTTAGATACACAGGAAAGAAATTTGGGGGAAATCTGAGAATTTTGTGTCTCCTTTCCCCTCTGCCTGCTTCCCGTCCCGAATTTCAAACTCTCCAAATCTCAGCAGCCAAACACAGTAGATGAAATGCTAATCTATCACCAGCAAATTTAGGCTGCCAATACTGCGATCGACCACATTGATTACATTGATTACATTTCAGATATTTACAATATAGGAAGACAAGCCTAATTTATTTTCTAAAGAGTTCAAGGTAGGTATCACTGTTTCAGGGTGGAGGGGGGGGAGGGACAATGGAGAGATGTTTGTGGTTGCTATCTGCAATCATCTGATGCTGACAGAGAGTGGTATTTTATTTAGTAATTAACAGTGTAAAGGGGAGAGGAGCTGTCATGTTGGTTCTTAAGCTGGGGAATGTGATGAAAGATGATATCTGCGGTCTCATCCTTTCCACTTGTTTAGGATTGTCAGGATGAGAAATGTCAGCATTATGAAAGCTCGGCTCTGCTCTTGATATGATAAAACCCTTCAAAAGCCAGTCTTCCTTGCGCCCCCGTCCCCCTCCTTTCTCTCTCTCTCTCTGCACTTGCTTTTTGTTTATCCTGTTTTGTTAGATGGCAGAAATATAATTCTTTTCTTTCTTCCTATTATAAGCCACCATTTTTGTTTTATTATATGTTTCACAACCCCTAATGCCCCACTGAAAATTACCTTGTTAAATGACAGTGTTTCAAAGCCATGAATCCTTTCCACCATTCCCTCAGAGGTTTGAAACAGTCAACAGACTGTAAAGAATAAATAATAAAAAAGTATTGATTATTTTGATGACTGTGAGATTCAATTAAGTATTAATTTTGCCCTCCAGTGGACCTATCAAGGTATTCAAAAGGGAGGATTCGGCTCAGCTAAATGCGTGCTGAGTGCTTCAGCCTTAAATAGGGAGAAAATGTGTTTACCTACAGTATTTGAAGAAGAAGTGCATTGATGCACAGAGTCCAATATTTAAGTGCTGTGCAAATTAAGCCCTGGTGACAGTGACATTGTTTTCAGTGGTATGAGTATTGACTAAAGAAGTGCATTTGATGACAGCTTAAACTATTTGTATTGATTAACATTTTCATAGATTATCATGTGTCATATCAAATTCACTTTTCAGGCATGAATACATTTAAAAAAATAACCACAGGCAAACCACAACCAATGTAATGATGGGACACGAGAGCATGTGGCCCCACCTGCTCCTGCACTGGTCACCTGTTTCCTGCCCAGGAACCATTTAGGCATGAACTTGGCAATAAATAGCTCCCAGATCATGCAAAGAGGGCACTTCTTGCTTTTCTTTCCCTTCTGCATCCGATACTTTTGCTAAAACAATATTATGCGTCTTGGTTTGCCAATGGAATAAAAGGCTACACTTGGACAATATTTCTCTGTTCCTAAATTGCCCTTCTAATGAGCTGGAGATAAAGCAGATTTAAATTACTGGGGCTGAAAGTTTGCCTTTTTTGAAGGTGATTTTTTTTCCCTTCCATTTTCTTTAATGCTCTGGGTGTATGATGCTCTAGGTTTCCGAATTATCGAACACAGTTTGTAAGTATTTTCCAATTCCTTTAAAAATGTTTAAACCAATTTTCCTATATGTTGTGGTGCATTGTTTGCTTTGAAATGTGCATTTGATTTGGGGTTAGCGTGGGTCCCAAACCTGGGACCGGTGGAGTCAACTTCTAAGGGTGTGTAAGGAATTTACATAAGAAACCGCTTTTATTCCAGAGAGAGCATTTGGCAGACTCTTTTCTCCCGCTCCCCTTTCTCTGCTGGGGGATAGGGTTTAATTGCTTGTCCCCCAGGGAGAGGGCTTCTTAAAATAGCCAGCGGTTCCTCTATAGGGTGCGCCTGCCTTTTCAGCGTGTGGCTGAAGTACAAACCCAGCACTTTCTTTCTTCTGACTGCATTAAAGACGGAACAAGGTGTAAAAACATTCGCACAAAAGCACATCCCACAATTAAAGCCGTGTTGGTGAGGTTGCTTTCAAAGAAGTTTTTTTTTCTTCTTCTTCTTCTTCTTCTTTTTCTTTCCCCTCCGAAGCCTCCTGAATCTCTCACATGCTAGTTGAGCTTTAATAGGGTGGGGAGTAATGGAGAAGTCCTCGGATCTGTAATAGCTCTTCACTTGACTGCAGCCGGCAATAACAGCGGGAGCAGCCAGAGATAAGAGAGAGAGGAGAGAGGGAGCGGGTGCGTGGGGAAGAGGGAGAAGAGAGGGAGAGGGAGAGAGGACACGCACACTAAAGCGGCCACTGTCTTCCTCCCCTGCACTCTTTCCCCCGTCCTAGGATCCAATGATCGCTGGACAAGTCAGGAAGCCCTCGCTGTCAGTGCGGAGTGAAATGAATGCGGAGTTGAGAGGTGAGGACAAGGCTGCTACTCCAGACAGCGAGCTGAATGAGCCTCTGCTTGCGCCCCTGGAATCAAATGACAGCGAGGACACTCCCAGCAAGCTCTTCGGTGAGTCTGTCTAGGTATTTCATTCCAGTGCTACCCTGCTGTCCGGAGGAGCACTCCGCACACCCACCCCGCTTTTTTTTTTCTTTTCTCTCCCTGTGGTTCATGCAATGTTCTCCCGAGTCCCCAAAAGAGGAGGCTCAGGTCTCGAAGGGGCCGAGCCGAGTGCAGCGGGCTAGGAGGGTGCCCTCCAAACTTTTCCCAACAAGGAACTTCCCCGCTGCCCATGGCGACTTGTCAAATATTGCGCGAGTCCCCCAGCTAAGAAATTATGTGAAAAAAGAAGATGATCCTAATAATCAGGAAATCAGTGTCGTTTGTGAGACTCGGTTAACAATTATTGGATAAACATTGACTCGGTTTCAGCTTGCTTTGCAGCCTTTTGTTAAGGGGAAGGAGAGTAAAGTGTTATTATCTGTAGTCAAAAGACCACAGAGGGGAGCTGAGAAATATCAATACCAACCATTCTATGGCAGGTAAACAAAGGTGACTGCAGGGATTGTTCAGATAAATAACATTTTGTAATCACAATTAGTGTCTTTTTTTTTTTTTAAAGGGGGCGGTGAGGTAAGGAAATAGGTCCTTTGAGTCCCTTGCCTGACCTTCTCCCCATTAGCATGTGCATAGCCTCTTCCTAAGTGTGGAGGGAGCTCAGGACCTTTTAGGAATCTTTGTTTCATAAACAAAACAAAACAAAACAAAAACAAGCAGAGTGCCACCCCAGCAAAGACATCGCTTATTCAAACAGATGACACTCCGTAAACCAACTCCAGCAACTGTGATCTCTAATCAGAAAGGGGCGTGAGCAGCTGTTGAGGCTGGTGACTGAGTGATGGATGGTGATCCTTGTCTCTGCTGAGACAGAGGGACATGCGGCTTTCAGGACAGTGGCTCCTGAAACACTTGCTTGCTTTATTTTCCAATGTTTATAGCACTAAATATGTATATATGTATATATCTATATCTATCTATATATATCTATATCTATATCTATATCTATATCTATATCTATATATATATATATATATAATACATACTTACCTGTGTGTGCATATATATATATTTTATATTTCTATTTATCTTAACCTAACATATAAACCGGATACCTATATATGTACATAATCAGGCAGAGAACTGCTTGGTCTCAGGTTATAAACAATTGTGTTCCTGAATTAAAAAAAAATCAGTGCATAGTCTGCTTTGTTAAGAAAGTCGTTAATTCAGTTTAAAATAGGAGCTTTATTTTTGTTTAACCTGTAGAGAGAAAAGAGCTTTGATAGTTTGGCAACTCTAGGCCAGCTTCACCTGAGGAGTGTTTCTCTGACTTTAAATGTTCACTCAATCAAACATTAGGGGGCTGCTGCAGAGAAACTCTGCTAATTTTTCTACTGGTAAAATACTGTGGTATAGTAGATTCCAGCTTCAAGGGATTCTATCATATTACCTGTTCTTCGAAAAGCAGCATTTCCACCTCTGACATAAATTTCCCATACCTAGGCATTAAGGTGTCAGCATTTTCACTCTAAAGAAATATTTTGCTATAGTCTCTTTTTATCTGTGTAGGAAAAGTTATGTCCTAAAACACTCATTTCATTTCAGTGGGTTAGTGAGAGAACTCAGATAAAATTATAAATTACAGGAAAGCAAAAAGCCATGCCCAGCCTCTCTGATGTTGAGTAACTAATACTTTGACTTTTCAAAAGTAATTGATTGTATATTTAACTTAACTGCAGATAAAGGATTATTTGTCCCTAAACTTTCCATGCATTATTAAAAGTAAATGTGTTTTGTAGACTTTGGCTTATAATCCCAACTTGGTTTTTTCTTCTTCATTTCCCCCCCACTGGTTTGAATGGAGGGGTAATTAAATTGGCTTTTCAACATTTATTTAGATTTTCCACCATTGAAAATTGTTATAGATTTATGTCACTCCTTACTGATTTGCATGGTAGCGAAATAGCTTTTAAAAATCCAAGAGAGTTAAAGAAAATTAAATTAAAACTTCATTGAAGATATATCGTAAGTGGAATCTTTATAGTTAAAGTAGGGATCATAGTTTAGTTTAGTAATCATAGTAGATACTCATCTCCACTTTGTATTTCTCTACTTCTGAATCTGTAAGAGAGAACCCAGAACAACCTACATTGTGTCTTATAGTCTTTACATATCATCTGATTGTGTTTGGCCTCTAGAGTGAATATTTTCCAGTTTCCAATTAGGTAGATGAACAGTTTTAAAAACTTGAAAAAAAGAACCTGGAGACAATGTGAGAGAAAATAGAATGCACGTTGGAAGGAAAGCATCCCACGTTGTCTGGGATTTCTATTCCTATTTCTATTAATGTAAATATTAATTTATTTTATTTATGGGGTCTGTTATGCTCTCACTTTTTAATATCACTGGGGCTTTAGCTTAGGAATTCTAGCTTATGGAACTGACTAAAACTTTCTCTCCCAGAATTTTTAGCAACTTTGGCAACACTCAATGGGTGATCATTTAATAGACCATTATTTTATCTGCCATATTTATGTTCAACTTTTTTGCTTTTATATGTAGCGTTGATTAAATTTTTACTTGATAATGAATAATTACATTATTTCCTGAATAACTGAGAATATCCAGGTTTGTTTCTAAATAGTCATTTTCTCATATACTCTCTTAAAGCATCATTCCTATAATATATACACTGTATTACTGAAAACTGTGCTCCTCCAATGAAAGAAGCAGATTATGACAAATCATGTACCCCTTGATATATTTACTTTTGTGGAGAGACATTAAGCAACACCAGGAGAAGTTTCAGTATGAATAGATTTCTTTGGCGGTTACTCCTCCTCCTGTGTCTTGTTCAGATTAGCAGTCCAGAGGACAAGCCTGTTTCTCTCACAGTATGGCACCTTCAGCACAGAACTGCAGGGGAAAGGCTAATGCTGATGCCCTCTATGGATAAACAAAGGAAATTCCAGGAGCCATTGGGCCTTTTATGCCTCCCCTTAAATTGCACCTCTGCACTTAACAGCATCCAAAGAGAAACATACTGTGCAGAATATTTCAGTGCTCTGAGCAGCTCAGAATACCAGAAGGAGAAACCAGAAGCCATATGCCAGCCTAAGTAGAAAGTTCAGAAAAGCGCCCTTGTGTTTTATAGAGTAATTACATCAGAGGCAACGTTTTGCTTAACTTGAACAGCCATGGAAACTAAAGTACACTTAAGAGAGATGAATCCACATTTCATTGAGAAACATGTGGTTAGCTCGTTCTCTGCGATATCATTAAGGGGTGCATGGTTTACTCTGGTAAAGCCTGGAGAAGAGCTCTCTCCTTTTTCTGTTCCTGACTGTATTATGCTAAGCTCTGAGCCGCAGGAAACCATGTGTAGGAGAACAGACGTGTGTTCCGGGGGCATTACAGCATTACCAGAGGATCTGGTTCTGTCTCACTGTGCTTCAGCTGATGGTCAAATGAGTGATGCCGCACAGGGCCAGCCGTTTAATACGTGATGACATATTCAAAACCACTCTCAACATTGAACTTGGGGAAAGAATCTCAAAGGAAGAGGTTGCTGTGTTTCTCTAGTGACATTTATAGCACCCGTGTCAATGCGGTGCTTCATTTTTAGTTATGCCCATCAAGAATTCAGTGTTCCACATTCAGTCAAGTTGGATGCTAAAACTCAAATGGTGGCATCAACAACTTGGCCAGGAAAATGGCCCCAGACAGGGTGAAAGTAATATATATCCCTAGAAAAATATCTGTGCTAAAGTTTGCCCATGCCGTGTCAGCTAAGAAGTGAGACCACATAAAACATACCCCAAATATTTTCTCCCGTATATCTTTGAAATCTGAATGATGATTTGTTAACAGTTTTCCTCCCAGGAATATTTTTATTGTTTCAAGTGAAACCTCATGATTGCTGTTCTTAAAGTCCCAGCTCCCTTGGGTGGCTGGGTTAGTAGTCTCTGCGTCTTGCCTCTCAGTTGTATCACACTGCACGTGGATTGTGGCACACAACTCTCCAGCCTCGAGCTGAGAAGTAAACAAAAAGCCATATAGAAACATTGTACCTGGAATAAAAATTGGTGGTTGGTTCTCTCTTATGATTCTATGTTTTCCTAGGTTAAAAGAAATTGCATGCAATGATACTTCTAAGAGTGGGTGTTTTCAATGTCATTGATCCGTGAACTATTGGAAAAGGGTTGAAAGTTGAGTCAGTGGTTCTTCCTTCCTAGAAAATGTACTGGGCTATTCCTTTCCTTTCCTCTCTGTTATCTTCCTCATAGAAACATGCATTATAAGATTATTTTTTTAAATTGCCATCCGGTTTGACTTGATTAGAATTTATGGCAGTCGAGTCATTTTCCATGACAAAAGGATAAAGGACTAAATTATCTGTCACCCCTTGAGACAGTGGTCTCCGCAGGTCAGCGTGGAGGTCATGGGTAGGGCATTATGAGGACTGCACTTTATGGTGATGCGGCCTCTCCCCTGTGCATAAGAGGAGCCTTCATTATGTCATCACTGTCTTTATTACTTTATTCAAATGTCTCTCTCAAGGTTTCGGTGCTTTGGATATTTGTAATATTCTGATAAAATATGCTGGGGCCAATAATCAGGACATCGGGCTTAAGCCCAAGAGGGATTTTGCTGGGAGGTGATGAGAAAAATTCCCTAGAGAAATCTATTTACTTAAAATATGCATCGTGATTCTATATTTTTGAAAGTTTCAATATTATGTCAATTAAAAATTGATACTATTTTTTACTGAAGAAAGTGTGTTTGGCTAGGGAAATATTATAACAGGATATTTTTAGATCAACTAAATCATTTGAGTGATAGATTCTATGTGAAAACAGTTATTTTAAAAGAAACCAGTAGAAACCTGTATTTGCATGTAAGGTATTTGCATGTCAAAAATCAATTATAGTTTAATAGTCAAACAAGCCCTTGTCATGCTGCTCTCTGATGACTGAGGGGGGGAAATGCACCTTTAAATACATGTCTTA